ATAATGTTATTTTATATACCTATGTGCATGTTACTAACACCATGGTAACTTCTGAAAACTCCAACCTCCTTGTCACTATGTCACATGCTTACAGCGCTTCACTCAACGTGCAAAATATGTTTTTATTCTATTATTTTGAAAGCTCTTCCACAAAAGTCAGAGGAGCCCAATATAAAACCCAAACTACCTTTGCATTCACAACAGTCACCAAAAACAGAGCCAACCTTGAAGAAATGTATTGCCAGAAAATACTAGATTGCTAGTATCAAGAGTAATTAAAAAAAACCAATGAAACAAACCAAAATCAAAAAATTCAGCTTTATTTAACTCATCTTCACATCAATTCTTTCATCTCAGGAAGCAAGTGATTAAATAGTTCTTTCTTACCTACAACTTATGAACTCTTTTCTTCTCACTTACTTCATATTACATTAGTTAGTCAGTGCGCTTGCATTTGTTCTAAAAATCTGTCTTTGAGCATCAGCACAGAACTACTCTTCACTATCCTGACCAAAAAGAAATAACCTATTTTGCCTTCAGCTGCCACAGACTGCAATTATAGAAGTACTGTATGAATATTTTACCAAGAGCTCCTGTATAACCAGTGAAGCATTGGAGACCATCAGCAAAATTCCTACTTGAGGACTACTGTGAACATTTTTCCAAAGGAAGAGAATCTGTAAGCTAGGTCATTTTTTGACATAATGATAAAGCAATGAAAATATATTGTGCATTTGTGATTAGAGAAATGAAATCAGTTCAACTGAGTCAGTGTTGATAAAGCATTGGAAATCTGTGGCATTTTCAGGCCTGTTTTTGTTTCAAATTTGTGAAAAGAGTGATAAAAATAAAACAAACAAAAACCCTACAAGCAACCAAAAAGAAACCAAAGGCCTAAACGTGTTCATGGGTAACTGTGAAATAGTTCAGCTGAGGACATCTTTCAGATCCAAGAGATGGCTGGGGGTAAAGAAAATGTGCATATATCACTTTATATGACTGTTTTAAGGCTTCCAAAGATTGCTGAAGAAGTAGGAACAAGAAACGCCAGTGGGAGAAGTACAGGGGCTATGTATGCCTGCCTGACATTTTCTTCCAGTTTTATTCAACTGCTGTAGCTACTGTGGACAAGAAGGTGCGTGTACCTAATGGCAATTGATAACCAGATCTCAAGACTGAAGACTAAGAGGTATTGTGGCATTGTTTGCTTTTTAGGACTCCAGTTTGTAGATGACTGCCGTCTTATGATGTCATCTTGAAATTGTCTTATACTTTTGTGTGTATGGTTTTCTGGGGGTTTGGTGGGGCACATGGTTTGGGGTTTTTTTAGGTTTTGGGGATTTTTTTGGTGGTATTTTTTCATTGGTTTTGTTTTTTATGTTTGGGGTTTTTTTTAACCACATATTCAAGGCCAACAATATTTCACAGCAGAAATACAGACTTCAGTAGCTTAAAATTCTTTAAAACTTTTTTTTTTTTCTACAAACACGGCCAGCTCTAACACAAAGGTGGGTATAAACAAGAAAACAAGACAGCACTAATCCTCAAGTCACTATGTAAACTAAGTACATTACTTCTGTCCCACACTGATCTAATCTGAAATTTTATTTGGTATTTTTTAATGCAATTCTATCTATTACCATGAAGTGGGATAGATCACAGTAACATCAGATCAAGCATTCATTCTCATTCGTTCTCCAACTAGTATCTGCGTGTGTTTACACTAGGGTTTGCAGAAACACAGTGCTCTCAAGTAACCATCTTAGGGAGCTTGCAATCTTAAAGAATGCAGAGAATGAAGAGCAAAAAATTAGCAAAGGTGGATTTCTATACTTTTTGCCAATAATATATAAAAGTAATATAAGACTCTATTCTTTACATACCACCCTTCACAAAAGAAAATTGTCTTCCTGTACCAAAAAAATATGTTTATTAGTATACTAAACTTCAACACAAAGGTTAGGCTGAAACAAAAATATTTTTAAAAATACCAAATACTTTAAAAACACAGAACTTAAACACAATAAAAAAGGGTTAGTATAACTATTACGCAAAGTTGTGAAAATCTTCTTTTCACGCCTTTTTTTTTGTTAAACTATTTTCTGTCCTTCAAGATTCCTAAACTAGAATCATAGAATCATTAGGGTTGGAAAAGACCTTTAAGATCAAGTCCAACTGTCAACCCAACACTACCATGCCTACTAAACCATGCCCTGAAGTGCAATATCTACACATTTTTTGAACACCTCCAGAGATGGGGACTCTACCACTTCCCTGGGCAGCCTGTTCCAATGCTTGACAACCCTTTCACTAAAGAAATTTTCCCTAATATCCAATCTAAACCTGCCCTGATGCAACTTAAGGCCATTGCCTCTCATCCTATCATTAGTGAGCTGGGAGGAGACCAACACCTGCCTCACTACAACCTCCTTTCAGGTAGTTGTAGAGAGCAATAAGGTCTCCCCTCAGCCTCCTCTGCTCCAGACGAAGCCCCAGTTCCTTCAGCCGCTCCTCCTAAGACTTGTTCTCCAGACCCCTCACCAGCTTTGTTGCCCTTCTCTGGACACGCTCCACCACCTCAGTGTCCGTCTTGTAGTGAGGGGCCCAAAACTGAACACAGTACTCAAGGTGCGGCCTCACCAGTGTAAATGGGCACGATCACTCAGCTCCAGTGCAGGACATGGCATTTGGCCTTGTTGAACCTCATACAGTTGGGCTCAGCCCATCAATCCAGTCTGTTCAGATCTCTCCATAGAGCCTTCGACAATGAACTACTTTCATTCTATTAAAGAATGCAGAGTCTTTGTTATTCTGCTTGAAACAGTCTAAGTGAAAGCTATGTTCTTGTGAGTTTTCTACTGACGTCTCCAAATGCTAAAGCAAAGGAAACCCTACTGGAGGAAGAAAGTAATTAAGCACTACAGTTAACTATAGTTATCACAGGGCTGAGAAATAAAATGAGTGTTAAAGTGATTTATTACTGTCTCTGACCAATGCAGAACAAGATTCAAGAATGCTGAGTGCCACTTCATGTCATGGATCAAAGATAACAACTCGGACAAGCCAGATTGTGCGTAGGCATCACTGTGAAGCTAAAAAAAAACGCACCACGAGATTTAGTGAAAGCTACGCATCTTGAGACTAAATTCACTTTCCATATCAAAAGTGCAAAACATTGTTCTTTCTAGATCAGAAATGAGGTCTCCTTCAGAAATAAAGCACTGATTACTCTCTCTGGAATTTAAGCGTCAAATATCCTTATACGACCTTGTTTAAGCAGGACAGCAAATAAACAGGAATTCTTCAGATACAAACCTTCTTTTGTAATGACTTCACAGTCATTCCAATTTCTATTTACAAGTACAAAGGAGAAAATGGGACTAAGAAAAGAAATACTGATGCATATGCCAACTTGTTAACCTACAATAGCGATCCCTCATTGCGTCATTTTTTTTCCCCTTTCCTATGTTGGGAGTATAAACTCTGCATTCAAATGAGATTTTAACATGTTCCTATACTGGTATATCAAAGTCAATTTTATGTTAGTATTTAGCCATGCCAGCTTCAGTTTGTGGAGGATGAGAAGACACTCAATAAACTGTCCACTGAATAACATGTTATAAGTTGTTGTCAGTACAAAATGAGGAATTGGTGTCTTAATTACATAGAACGTGGGAGAGGTAGCTGAAGTATCTCAGAATTCCCATTCATTAGTGCCTAGTAACTGGGCAACAATATTAGCAATGAAGATAATTCTGGGAGAAGGTCTCAAGTTTAATCAGGCAGAAAGCAGGTAATGCAGAGGAAAGATTAGGAAAGCTGACAAACTGAACTGGCTGAGGTATAAGCTACCAGTACCTGGAGCCAATTAATAGGATCCTAGTCCCATTACCCTGTCAGTGGAAGCAGAAGTTTGAATAAAATAACAGACAGTAACTGAACCAGTGCATTGTCAGAGCAGAGAAGGAGCACGTGTTTGCAGGACTGTTTCAGTAGTGTTGTCAGGAATTCACCACAAGCAATAATACAAGCGATGCAACTGCTAGAGACTTTCCCTGTGAAAATTCATCCTTTAGAATTCAGAAACAACAAAAAATAAAACCTCATATTCATTTTTTTTGTTTAAAAATATGAAACCACTACATTGCTACAAATTTTTAAAGGGATGGAGCAAATCCACCGGAATTGCAGTGTAAAGCAATGTTTTCACTGATTCACTGTATACTTACATACTCCCAAAGAAGTCTATAAATGTATATATCTCTCAAATACGGCTATGTTAATGGCATCTTACAATTTGGCATAGTAGTTTGAGGTTTATGATAGCTTGTATATTGAGTTACTTCCACTTTTTTGAAGAAGAATTTTTTTTGCTTCCTTCTTTGTTTAGGGGTTGGGGTTTGGGAGGGGGTTTGTTGAAAACTGGGGAAATTCAGTGCTGCCATTTTCCTATTCTACAGGCTGTGGAATGTTTGTATCTTAAATAGGAGTAATGTTTTCCACAGAACACAAGGCAACTAAGGGAAGTGAGCTGACTTGCCCTCTGAAAAAGCTTAGTCTCCTCTCAACTGACCATACACAGTTGCAGAATGCATGTCTAGTGTAACTGCAGCCCTGAATTAAACTTCTCAGTTCACGACGAATCTAGACCACAGACTCTGTGTGCATAAGCCTGTGAAAGCACACAGGGATGTGGGACAATGGATGGGACAGACTGACCCATTGCCATCTTGCCTTCTCACAAAATCAGTCCCATTATAAAGTTTTTGAGATTTCCTTCCTCCTGTCCACTCAGAAAGGAGGAACTGATTTTGTAGACAAAAGTGCTCGGAACCTCTCACTCCACACTGGTCACAGAAAACAGGCTAATAATAAACAAAGCATACAGATATTAGATAGATCAATCCAGAATTCAGTGCATTTCTCATTTCTTTACAGACATACATACTTACAAGGGTAAAGCACAACAAAGTGCAGATACCAAAGCAGAGACTACTCACCTTCAATGTACAGGGGCTCAACGACATCGTGATTTATCAGTTCGAAGTTCTCATGACCAATCCAATGCTCCACATTTCTTTTCCTGCCCGTAAAGAAGTTGTCCACAACTGTAACCTCATGGCCATCCATCATTAGTTTGTCAGTAAGATGAGAACCCACAAACCCTGCTCCTCCAGTTATCTGCGTTAGGACAGTTGGTATAAATTTCTTTTTCTTTTTACAGAAACACCAGACAAAGTCTACAAACATGAAGACAGAAGAACAGTAGCTTTCAGATCTTTGCTTATTCCAGGGGAAACAACTCCATTTCCATGCTTAATTTTTTTTTTCCCCAATATTTACAGGATTTAAAGTTTCAAGAGACATGCTTGACATGTTTCATTACTGTCAGGTTAGAAGTTCAGCTAACCATTCATATCAACAAAATCTCTTTTTCAGATTAGATTGTTTTCCTTTTTCCCCTCAAATTGGATTGTGCCTTTCTATGTGACAGCAAGGCCTAAAAAGACCCAAAAAGGTAAGAGTTCTCTGTAACTCCCATGTCTCAGAAAAAAGATGACAGAATGCCAGGTTATTTTAGTGTCAGATTTATAATACCAGACACATCAAATCTAGCTTTTGTCTGGTTTAAATAGAAGATATGTTGGGTGTTCTAAGTACTAAAAATCCTTTCACCAGGGAAGAAGGGGTATTCTTAGATGAGAGCGAGTCTTTGAAGACCTCTAATTTGAAATACCTGCTAAAACCAAAATTACTCCTTTTGTGTTTTAATGCATCCATAGCCTAGATCATTCTGGCCTAAAGTGGTCAGGTAGTTGGACTAGATGATCATTGTATGTCCCTTCCAACTGAAAAAATTCTCTATTCTATACCATTAGCCCCAACATCTAACATTTCCCTGTGTTGCAACTTTATGATGTTTTACTGCAAAGAAATAAGCAGAAATAAAATATTTAAAATCTTGTACTCTTATTCCATTGCAGATGTAGAAGCAGCAAGAAAGTTCATTCTTTTTCCCTTTCTGCACCTCAGCCTTTAATCGCAAACAAACAAAATCACTAGCTCAGTATTGAAGCAGTCAACACACCAAATAGTAGAACAGCAAGCCATGTGACACATCCAGACAGACATATCCACAGAAGCAATTAATTTCTCTGTACTTCATAAGCTGTTTTCAAGAACACACAAAGACATGACAGATCATCACTCTCAAAGAATGAAGGGACTTGTAAAAGCCCTGTGTGGCATCAGCTATATTATATGACTGCATGATCAAATTCACATTCTGAAAGTGATTCGGCTGTTGATCTCCATTCTTCAGCTGCAGTGACAACTAACCAAACAGCAAAAGAACATGGTGTAATTATCAAGCAGTAATTTAACAAATAGATGGTGTGCTACAATGACAAAGTGCTGTGTGGAGAAGTATGTAGATGCCTGAAGTTCTTTAACTTCAGGTTAGTCAAAGGCTAAATATTTATCCTGTCCACTCCTCTGCAAATCACTGCTGAAAAAAAGCCAGAAAAAAGCCAGATGAGCAGAACTATTTTTTTTTAACTAGTAAAGATGGAAAGACAGAGAGAAAGCTCTCAAAAACTGAAAAGAACTGTAAAAACTTCAATGTCCACTTCTTGTATTCTCACACTTGTTTTTCTTGTTAAAAATTCAGGGCCACCAATGCATCAGAGACTTTGTAAGTACCAGTTAATAAAAGAATCATTTAGTTGGTCTATTTAGTATTCTGCTGGGTTTGTCAGGGCTTCCTTGTAGCAGATTCAATATGTGATTCAGTTCCTTGACAAACCTGAAGGAGAAAGAGGATTTAGAAGCCCCCTTTGAAAGAAGGAAATCATCTCAAGGCTCGCACTAGCCTGGAACAGACAGGAGGAAAGAACAGGTTTCTGGCAGAATGCAGTGAACAAGGAAAGAGCAGAAGTAACTGAGGGAGAACCACCCTCTGTCACTTGCCACCACTTACCAAGGAAAAAATAATATGCATGGAAAACCTACAGCCATAAGCTTATCCTGACTCGGAAGTGAGCTGCAGCCTTGTTGCATGTTCCAAGGGGTTTGCCTTTTTATGGTGACCAGGACAAATATTTCTGTAGATGACCTGAACCTATTTCTTCAACTGAGGCTCAAGGAAATCCCCTGCTGCTACTCCCATTTCCAGGATTCCAGAGAACAAACTCGATGCTCACAATATGTCTTTGGTGCAGTAAAAGAAAGTGTCTTCTTCCCCATCTCCCTTTTGGAAAAAAACATAACCAAACCACAGACTCCTTACAGCACTCTTCTATGCTATCTATAAGCAAAAAAAAGAAGGGGGGGAAAAAAAGCACAAACCAATTTTTTCTGGGAAGAAGTTTCTTATTACTTTAAATCTGTAAGTAGTTTTTATGATAAATCTATGTTAGCTTTATTAACATATTACTTTCATTGGTATTGGTTAAAGAACTACTTGGAAATGGAGCTGAATTTCCCCTGGAAAAGTAAACAACTGTATAAATTAATTTTATCATTACTTGAGGATACATTAAAAAAGAAAAGATGATTTATCACCAAAGCTCTCTGTATAACCTTCCTGTAATCACTCACAAAAGCAAGGTCGATGTACTTTTTTTTTAAATACGACTTTTTGCAAATTACATTGACATATTAATCTATAAAACTGTATACTGTACATTAATAATTTCCATATCAGAATTGAAGCATGAGCACTTGAGGCTTAAATAAGCGTTCTTCAGTAAGACATCACTAATTAAAATATTTAATTACTTAGTAGTGCCAGTATGGTTGGTAACTTCAGCATCTATTATAAGGCACAAATATTACTGATGATTTCCTCCACTAGAGGCACTTAAAGATTTGTGCATTTGCTAGACAGGTTCATTTCTGCTGTCTGCAGTCAGATTCAAAACATCTAATATCCTATATGTAATTTTGTTTTTTATTATTTTATGTTTTAATTGGTCTACCGCATTCAATTCAGAAAAATACGCACACAACAGATTGAACTTATGTCAACGTTATCATCCATAATATTAACAGAATTCCTTCTCTTGCATATGAAAGCCTGTGGCCTAGCCACTTCAGAGAACTGATCAAGTAGATAAATCACGCACAACAGGATGCAGACTTGAGCTCTTTCGAATGGAAGTGCCAGAGTATGTAGTCTCAGCTGACATACCACCCCTACTAGCAATCATCTCCAAACAGATACCGTATAATACAAAAATAACTGCTCAAACTGTTTTCTGATCAGGTCAGCACTGTAGCTATCTCCAGGTTGCAGCTGGAGACAGCATTCAGAGAAAAATCAGAATTTAGAATGGATTCCAGGAGCAGTTGCAGTATCACCAAAACATGAAGCAAATCATCTACCAAAGTTCACTTGGCTTGCCGACTCTTCTGTTTACTCCTGAGAAATTTCCAAGTGTCATGCAGGTCTATGCAAGTCCTCAATATGCTGACTCCAGCTACTCAGAAGAACATCTTTCCTGTAGAATTATGACAGCAACATTCTAACAGAATGACAATGCCCACATGGGCAGGAGGCTTGTGAAAGCCCATCTGAGTTCCCACTGAACTAGTCCCCAACCATGACAGAGAAGAAACAACTGAACAACTCACTGATCCTTTTGGCCAGCTTTCTCTTTAGTAATCTACACTCTACAAAATATGTGGACACCAAAAAGCTATTCAGGTCACCAGAAAACACTCCTATTCCCACTACTTGCCATCACTGTTGAAGCAACAGACTTCATCAAAATATCCAGTATCTTTAAGAGGCAAAGTTTAAAGTTTAATATTAAAGAGCTCCATAACATACTAACAGCTTGCACGGATACCTTTCTTGAAAGTACCTTCTTGCTTACACAAAAACCATGACATTAAGGTAACTGTATTACACTTGGACACATGAGCACATGATTGCAGAATTTTCAGCCTCTCTCTGATACCTTCCTCGGTGTACCTTCCACATTCAATAAGGGAACATGGAGCTACAGGTCTATCTCCTTCAGACTGTCATAAAAATGACAGAATAACACTGTCGAACTAAACCAACTTAGTAACACTTCTGAAGTTCTACAATTGCAGTGAAGGCGATTGTCTAATAAAGCAGTAAAAACAAAATTTGGTTTTAATTGCATCTTTTCAGTGTTTTTCTTCAAAATTTTGAAGAGTGAAAGCAAAGGAGAACACCACATAAGTTAAACACTTTAGCAGGGATTTGTCCCAGACTTTGCTCTCTACTACAGAGGAAGAAACTCATACTTCTGTATTTACACATCTTAAGTAGCTATACTTTCTCTGCCTCTTCAAAACGTGGGGATAATTTTTTTTCCCTAGGACAGACAGAAACAAGAAAAAAAATAGGACACAGCTAACTTCAAAAGTGTTTGTAGATGAAACTGGAAAGCTGATGTTGCAGCACAATTTGCTGAGTTTAACAATGCCTTAGAAGACTACCTGTTCTGACTTAACCTGCCTTCCTCCTCCACCTTAAAACACCTGTGATGTTTCAAAATATCAGCAACAACACAGAAGATAAGAGAGAGATGAGCATTCTCTCAGTCTAATTAACTGTTCCTTCTTAACAGTGCTGCAGAGCAGCTACTTTTCCAGCCTTATGACTAGATTTTGTCCAATTCAGTCACACAAACTCTCTGCCAAGGTATGCGTAAAAAGTTTCTGAGTCTTTACAAGTTTGAGCCATCTGGAAGCAGCCACAAAGACCCTTTGGCAATGCACTCTGGAGATGTTACAAGCAGAGAACAGCAGCTTAACTGGCAAGTCAAACCTCCAAACCAGAGCCCAAGTCTATTATCCATATGCTGAGTTTGAGAACATCAACTCACTGAAGCACTACTCTAAACCCTGTGCAGCCCATATGACATCCAAGGTAACTTATTTTCTTCCTGCTCCTGTCTTTAATTAATCCTATAAGACTGATTACATTCCACAGAATTATATTTTTATTTCCCAAAACCAACCCCTGAGTAAATACCAACTTACCAGGATTCTTTTACGATCCTTTTCTGATAAAAATTTCACTGGTGGGTATTTCTGGGTGAAACTACAGAACATTTCAAAACAAAAAAGAAAAACTATGTAAGTTTCAGCCTTCCTTCTTCTTTCACGTATCTGAAATACCAAAAACTGTTTTGACAACCTCCTATTCTTAAAGTTCTACTAAGGGTACATTTACTCTTTTCTAAACAAGGATCTGGGCCAATATAAAAAAATGCCTATACTTTGTAAAAGCAATGTGAGAAATATCAAAACTCATCTGCAAAAAGTGCTTTTAAAATTTCTGCTTAACTGATTTTCCTTGAATTAGTCACTTGGCTTCTATCTTTTGAGAATTTCTGCTGGTGCCAGGCACGATATCACAACAGAATAAAATATGAGCAGCATTTGGACTTTTTTTTAAAAAAAAAGTTTTAAAAAGTAAACAACCTTACGAGTTCTGGAAAAGAAAGCAAGTTGTCTTGACTTACCACACTGACTTCAAGCAATTCTTCTTCAAGTTTAAATGTGAAGTTTAGAGTATAAAGTTTTAATTCTCCTTAAAGTTTCACAGTACTCAATGTAAACTTCACTATCAGAATGTTAAGGAACTCTTTTTAAGATACTCCAACATTTTTTACCAGAGAGCTTATTCAATATGAAAGCTAACCTTAATTTTCTGGCTAGATTGCCATTATTTTGTTGGTATTCAAGCTACACTTTAATTTTTTTGTACCTTCTTTACAAGAACTTCATCAAACTAAAACATCCTAAAATAAAATTATGTGACATACAAATCTTAGGTGCTCTCTCAAGCTTAAAATTGATGCTCAGAACCTTAAATGATTTCATGGACATCGAATTATATCACTTCTTTCTCTCCCTACTGGCATGTATTCTGCATACAGCAACAAACTCCTCCAAAGGAAGGTGTGAATTTTATTTCATTTATTTCAGTAAGTAGCATTGTAGTCTTGGCAATATTTTAACAGCTCCATTTTTTTCTTAACTAAATGCAACACTCAACAGAAATCAAACTATGGTTACTCTTCTCCTCCAGTAAGTCCACATGCCAGAGATACCATTGGATGTAGCACGCAGGAGGCGTATGTGCCAACAGTCCGCACTGAGGTGACATTTTCATCTACCCACAAATAGGCTCTGACTGAACTGACTCTACATCTCTAATCTTGAAGCAGCTCCTCTGCTTCTAACCTGCAGTACTGGATGAACAGGAATTCTTCAGAGCCAAAGCACAGATGCTTCTGTACTTGTGCCATCTTTTCATCCCAGAGTGAAAGCCGTTTTCAGCTTCCTGGATAGGGGAAATATGGCAGCAGAATCTTCCAGTGTTACCCAAGCAGGAAGACTGACATAAGAAGCTACCTACACTTGCCTTGTATCACTACATGGGTCACTAACGGTAATCCTATTTCTTTGATTTGAGCTCAAGCAATGAGAAACAGCAGTGCATAAGTATAACACAGTCATGTAAGACACAGCCTTCCTGTGAGAGAAAGGCAAATCCACCCATAACAGCAAGAGGTTTATGCAGTTTAAAAAAAAAAGTGCCAAATAACTTGGTGCAAGGTAAGTCTCCTCCATTTTTAAGGAGGAAAGGTCTGTTTTAAGGTCACATTAATCCAGTACGGACTCATACTGCCACTAAAGGGACCTGCCAATCATTTGTACTCCTTCCATTACACCAGTACAAGCTTAAGGGCAACGAGCAGGAGTCTGGAATTGATCCAACTGAATGTTCATCTTCTGGCAGCAACATTAAGTTTATCTTGACCTAATGCTTGCTTTGATGAATACACGGCAATGCTTTTGCTGTGCAAATTATTAATAAAAACTTTCCAACTTTAGCTTCAGTTAAACAATCTCTTGTCATGAGACCAGCATTAAGGAATTCTTGTCTTTCCTGATTCCCCAAAAGCATGACGACAGCTTGCTTTCAGGTTTTATCAGCTTATGAGGTAAGAAAATATTGACACTAGAGAGTAAGCTTTGCAAGCGGAATCAGCCTTCAGGCATCTGACAGTGAGTAGTTATTTCACTTTACATAGATATAAAATTCAAAAATTCTTAATTGCAACAACCCACATGCAGTTGGAACCAGCAGAGGTAAATGGCTACACTATTTGAGAAACCCCACAACAATAAGGGCCCATATTTTGACATGGGCCATAAAAGCCCATAAGCCCACATTTTGTGAAAGTATAATTCACAGATCGGCTCATACAGAGGTAAAAAAAATACTTTGGTTCTTTCTCCTCTTTGCTAGGCATTTGAAATGACTCATCAATACACTGTAAATAGTAGTCAAAAAGAAAACGAGCATTTAGATAGCTTCTGAAGTTTTACCTTAATGGTTCCACCCAGCAACTCACTACACATTTGGAAAAACACAATAATTATAAAAAAGAACCAATCAGAATACCCTCCCACAAAGGTCCCCTGTGAACAGCAGAAATACGTACCTGAATTACCAACAACTGAAGCTAATGATATATTGGACTATCAATAAAGATTAAATAAGACAAATGAACACAGGCAGGGCATCAAACATTTCATCTGAACATCAAGTCTTTACTCTATAATTGGACCATTAAAATTGGTATGGCAGTATCACATTCAACTGCTACAGGTGAAGGAGTCTGCAATTTGTTTCATGTTACCAATACATCGCCTAGTTCGATCCATGAAGTTCACGCTTATATTAAAAGATGAGCAATCAGATCTGTATTCTCACTGAAAGAAATTATATGTGGCAGGTCACTGAATCTTTCAAATCGACTGTAAAAAAACCACAACTGACAACCTTTTTTTTTAATTTTCTCTTTTTTTTTTTTTTTTTTTTCTTTGTTTACAGCACAGGAAGGGTGGGAGGAGGAGGAGCATCTACTCACTGGCAAGACTAAACTCAAAACACCGAAACACTGCAGGTGTTGAGCATACCTCTGGCCACGAGCAATGGGATTCTGCTCCCTCTGCAGAGGAACAGCACACAACCACCTGTATGCCATATGTAACCATCCAGGCCTACTGGTACTGCTCGGCTAAGTCCAGACTTGGCCCACTGTAATGCAGCGCTCTGGACTGGCTGTTTGTCTGGGATGTCGACAGTGCCACCTGTGAAACAGTATCACTGCCAAAAGCAGCAGTGTCATTGTCAGAGCTGCCAACTCCCACCCCTATTCCAGACCTTATTTTGTGATGAAGAGCACCTGCCCACGAGGACACTCAAGATGGGAGACCCAGTCTGGCAGAAAGGCAGCCCAGCTGGGGAGCGTTTCCCCACCTTGTTCGCTGTAAGCACTCAAGTGTTTCTGCTGGCATAAAAGTGAGGAAACGATGTTGCAGGGTGGACATAAGCAGCCGGGAAGAAATGGATCAGACCTGATTTTTTTTTTTTCTTAACTACATCAATTTCAGGTGTTTGTGGAACTACGGCACATACTTAATATCGGCAGGTCATCAAAAACCTCATATACTTTTCCTCAATTGTATAATCCAGTTTAACCCAAGATAGCACATTCCCTTACAAATCCTGACAGAAGTGAGTCAGTCGGGCTCATCCCAAGGACACGCACAGCCCAAGATTTACAAGCAAATCAGTGTATGTTAGCTGAACCATGGTAAACCAATCGCAAGCGTGGGAAATCAGAGGTAAAACATATTTTCAGTCTCCTGAAGTTGAAAACAGTATGTTTTAGCACACACCTGGGTTGGAATTACTGAAACATGGTAATCCGTTCACCAGCTGGACTCAAACCAGCAAATTCCTTCATGGGATTTAAACTTTACAAAAATCCAGCACTCCCAGTTTACTTTAGTGGGATTAATCAATCTGAATACCTTTAGGATTAACGTCTTCCAGCATTCAAGGTGCCATCCTCACTTAGATATGACAAAAATCCAAAGGCACCAAGAGTACTGCATAAAACATTATTCTCAATCCTACAACTACAGAATTGACCACTACAGAACAGTAACTGGGCTTTTCAACTGCTTACCAAATACAGCAAAAAAAGACATACCTTTTTTCTAGATCTTTGATTTTTTCCCGTAGAGGAGCAACAGCCTAAAATAAAGGACCAGCATTAATCTTTGAAGAATGGAACAAGATTCACATCACAAAACATGCATATAAGTTACTTTAGAGCAAAAACCACAGCAAACAGTCTCCTATGAAGAGCTTCACTGAAGAAACTGCAAGAAACTTGTTTCTTAAAGCATCCTTTATGTCAAAAAAATCCTTGAACCTTTTTCACAAAAAATCAAACCACCTAGCACAGTGTGAAATTCCTTAGCCTACCACTGGAAACAAAACACCTCAAGGCTATGAGCACCACATCCATCAACCACGTCGATAAGAATATCCAATGTTATGATTCCTATTTGGCAAAGTGAAGTCAGAAGTAACCTAAGTTTGTCAAAAGCAAGCTATACTGAGCAACAGCACAAAAGTACAACCCTAGTACAGTAAAACCCCAACTACTGAAATGGACAGCAGATACACAAGAACACACAGACACAGAAACGGACACAGAGGCACTAGCTCCAGTGCAAAGGCTGTAATTGTCTCAGCACATGGTACGTGAATTTAAAGAAATATCACGTTTAAAAATCTAAGATGCATTTTACATCATGATTTGACTGTATATCTAGGCTGTTAAAAATATTAATAAAAGGAAATTTGTTTAAAAATATAGTTCACCTACCAAGACTGCTGTTTACATTTTAACTGCTTTGAAAAAGAGAATTATGTAAGTCAGCATCAGCTTCAGGCTCTTTATCGGAGGACCCAAATTTCTAACTGTCCTGCCAAATTTCAACAAGTCCCTGAACTCTTAAGTTTACTAAAACCTTGTTACAAAATTTACCATGTAGGTCCATATGTAAGTTGAAAGGTATCAGGGGGTTATTGGTTGAAATGGTACTATATAGCAACACATCACCAATCACCATTATTTTATTTTGTACAAATATTTCTGACTAGAGATAAACAAGTCAGGAACTTCATGAACTGAAATAAGCTGCATGATCATGATAAGAAGAAATACAGTACTGTCATCTGTATTAAATATCTAGCTCTGTGGAGCAGCAAATAATTCTTGAAACAGTTATACTTCTGATGGTTCAAGATACTGTACAACTAAAGCTTTAAAAGCAAGATCCAGAAATGCCCGACTTCTCAGACCTTACAGTAACTCTGATCTACCCATTGAATTTCAAGCATTTCACCATTCTTAAACAACTGGGATTTTCAGAATGCTTGTTGCAATGTTTACCGCAATTTAATTAAAGAAAAAAGAGAGAGAGGAAATGCAAAAGACATGAACTAAGAACACAATCTTTCCATTAATTTTAAGTATTTTCAGTGGGCCTCTCCCTGTGTTCAGAGGAACATATATGCTGGAATACAAGACACTAGGCAGACCACACTACACTAGCCTGGTCACACACACCCACACAAGTGGTAGGGAGTACTGACTTCAAAGACTTTTGTATCTACTAAATTCTTTGTTTTACTGTCATTAGACTGTAAGTCTAAAAACATCTGGAAAAAGATCTGTCACACACATTCTTATTATTTCACAACAAACTGAAGTTGAAATGGAAATGCAGAGGTACTGGTACAGAAATTCAGAACCACTGGTGTGTTCAATATCCAGGTCTACTCCAGAAATTGTCAAGACTTGTGTTTAAAGCACTGGTACTGCACACCACCCCTGATCACAAAACCGGCTACCTTTGTTCATTAGTTAAGAACAAAGCAAAGTATTTTGGGGAGGTTTCAAATTTCTAATGAAACTTACACATATTTATGATTTTGTAAGGTTGACAGAGGACAGAAATTGTGTATATCCTTCAGTCAGTAACAAAAAAAAGTTCTCAGGAGGACTCTACCACAGTCTCTGGAGAAATGAGACAGCAGAGATATGCATTTCAATAAAGGTTTAGAAGAAAAAGAATAAAAAGATGAGAGTCACAGATCTATGTTAGAAACTCCACTATAGTGAAGACCAGTTCAAAAACTTGCATAGACAGACATGCAATGCTTTGAATGGTTTTAGTGGTATGGAGAGTAATAAGATAGAACTAAATATAGCCTTTCAATATGAAATGAGTGAAATGGAGTCCGGAAAACAAAACAGACTACAACTATTAGCAAACTAACCTCCTCTATTTTACTTTCCACCTTCTGATCCCCATTTTCTTGAAGAGACCTGCTGGCAAGAAAAGAAAAAACATGATCTGTACCTAAGCAATAGTTGCTCCACTGCACCTGTATCATGCTTTTCCTGTTAAAACAGTATCTTCAAAGAATCCCAAGTTAGTAGCATTTCAAAGACATACTCGGAGCAAATGATAGCAGATGGTCCAATTCCCATTGATATCAGCTAGTCTTGTCACCAAGTTAGGCAGAAACTGAACCAAGCCCACAGGAAACAGTAGTAACAATACAAACGACATTCATTTTACAGAGAAAATTAACTTGATTGTAGAAAAGTGTCTAATCACTGCACTAAGGCAGGGTCAGCAGAAATGTTTTTGAGTGTAGCTTCACCACGCAAATGTGGAAGATGCCTCTTTGAGGGTCTCTGTTTACTGTACGCTACAAATATGCTAACACAACATTTTCCCTTAATGCCACAACTGTAACTAATTTCAGTGAAAGAGAGAGAAGGGCAAATGCATCTAGCTTTGCCTTCGAACTTTTACAAAACAAGGGAAAAAAGACCTATACCAAAACTTGTCTTAAGTGACCATCTGAAAGGCAAAACTGACTTAGCACACAACTGTTATCTGTTTGAAATGAAGCCAAGCTTATACACTGGAAGATGAACGATACCAAGGTAACTTACCAAAACAGAGTACTGTCTAAGAAGTTGGTGTCTTGCACAAATATGTGTGGTCTTATTAGTATCTAATTGTGTGAAGTATCACAATTAGTTGCGTTCATTCTTTGAGTAAACTTCTAGAAGTGAAGAATATGTATTTTTAAATTTTACCTCTTGCATCTAGTCTATGTGATTTTTTCCTCAAGTTTGCATAATTTTTTTCCAATTAAACCTTCTGAAAGCGGAATTATTTATCCTAAAGTAGTAAGTTTTTGTATACTAGAGGATTCAAGGGTATCCAACATAAAATGGAGTTCTTTCAAATAAAACAGAGCTCCTTTACTTGGGACTTGAAGTCATTACACCTAGGGAAACAGAAGATCCTTTGTTGAGCAGATATACATATGCCACACTGTGAGAAGTTAGAGCAATAATTCCCTTCATATCCCTTGTAAAACCCTCTTACTAAAAAGCCAGTTCACTCCGTTACTGAGGCAAAAATCTTATTGACCAGATTCATTTTGTCCTATCAATTAAGAGTGAAGTAAATTCCTAGACTAAAACACAGAGACCCTGAACCATCTTTCCAAAACAAACCATAATTTATTGTAGTAGTGGCAGATAAAAACCCTCCAGTTAACACAGTACGAATTTACTACAAGGAAGCAATATGAAGGAGTTGTGTGAAATTTTCAAATGTTTTCCCAAACAACAGAAATCTACAAAAAGCTATGTGAACAATCTGTGGAATACGTAGCCTTTTCTCTCTGCTAAATGAGCAAGGAACATTTGGAAAACTTCTCAGAACATAAAAAGGTTCCCTCAAAAATAGTTCCTACTATTGTTTATTCACAAATCCTGGAACTTCAGGACTTGCGCTCCACAGTGCAGTTTTTTAATGAGCTCTTCCTCCTAACAGAGACAATCTTACTGGCTGAGGACCAACATCAGACCTTCAGAAACAAAGGTTTCCCCCTCGACAGCTCTATAATGGACATCTCACATAAGAAGTCAGATGCAGCTAATGGCAGAATTTGTAAGCACAGGTTATCCAGGGAATGAACACATTGGATCCCATGCCCACCTGCCCTCCTCAAACCCCTCTCTGAGGTTCTTGTCCTTACTTTGGAAATGCTCAGCTGCTCACATAACAGCTGCTAAGCTGCCATAGTTGCTGGTCACGATAACACGGTAATCTAAATTATACCTCCATCTGCGAGCTGTAGCAGCTCAGCAGCTGTTTGCCTGACAGCTGAACACTCTGTAGCAAGTGTTGGAAACTCCAAGACAAGTAAAATGGACAGCCTGGGACAGGAACCGATTCCCAGGGTACACTGGTCGGGGTGAATCACAGCCCACAGAAAATTCATTGATTTCTTTCTTTGTCCCCTATGCACAACGACTTTGCTGTAGGGAACAGACTGTTCCCACATTCTCTTTACCTTCTTTTTCAGTTGTGTCTTCCTGGTGACTTTTCCCAGAGCACAAACACTCACACGCAAGCAGAAATGCTGTGAATATCTGCATATTTTGCATGCGTATGCTACGCCCTCCTATTTCTAAGGGCAAAAATTCTGGGGGACGGTGCAGGATTTTTCTGCTTTTCAGCAGTTAAACCATCAGATTCTCTCCCAATTAATTGTGCAGGAGGAAAAACCCTCAAAAGCACACTTCTAATTCTAGGTACAGAAACATAATTATGGCAAGCAATGGGAGACATAGAATGGTTTGGAAAGGACCTGTAAAGGTCATCTAGCCCAACTCCCCTGCAGTAAGCAGGGACATCTTCAACTTGATCAGGTTGCTCAGAGCCCCGTCCAGTCTGACCTTGAATGTTTCCAGGGATGTGGCATCTACCACTTCTCCGGGAAACCTGTGCCAGTGTTTCACCATCCTCATTGTAAAAAATTTCTTCCTTATATCTAATCTAAATCTACCCTCTTTTAGTTTAAAGCCACTACCCTGTGTCCTATCGCTACAGGCCCTGCTAACTCTGCTGCTCTTCAATGTTCAAGCCTCTATCACCACTGAGATGTGGTCAGATCTGTGCTGAGGAAAAGGAGAATACAAGCCTATGTGCCCAGCTATGCCAAACAAAATACGACAATATATTCAAAATCAGCAGATGAATTTGTGAAAAGGCAGGCAAAATCTGAAGTGAGAGTAAGATCCTCGGTGAAATTTGTAGCAAACATAAAACCCTTTGAGAGACTGAACACCTTGTGTTTATAAAATGGTATCAGCTGCTTAGCAACCATCCAAACAACAGTGTGAGCTGCTGTTCTATTTTCTCCCTACTTAATATACAGTGATAAATGTTGATGGGAAAGGTAAGTTAATTTTGAGATAAGGATATTCAATACAAAAATTATATACATTACCTCATATTGACAAAGTTTCCCCATACAGCTGGAAAATAAGAAAAGAGAGAACATTACAGTGTAATATAACAGTACATGAGGTCATTTTGTCCTATTAGCATCAGAAGGAATTTAAAACAATATTAAGTATGTTAATCACAAATTATCTAAATAAGTCACATACATGATATATATACACACACCAAGTGACTAGAACACTGTTTAAGAGTATGGGAGGAATTCTGATGAAGTTACACAGGCTATAAAAAAAGTAGGAAAATACAAAAGATTCAGTAATTTAATAAAGAAGGACTAGGCTATTTCAGCACGCACCTGAAATTATCTAACCAGTACATCAGCAGATACACTTCTCTGTACCAGAATTCTCTGAACTATAATTTGTTACCGCACACAAACTAAATAAACCCAAGCTCTGGACTTGTTTAATAGCGATACTGAAAAAAATGGTAAGAGGAAGAAAGGAGTCCTGTCAGCCTGAACCGCACAAACGGGAAGCTGCAGGCTGAGGAGTAAAAAGACTGGCCACTACAGGCAATAGCTGAAACAGTCCAAAGAGGCACCACAAAAGTCCTGCATTAAAGGTAGCAAGTGCTTGTCCGCACGTGCTCTCTCTCTAAATATATTGTGATGCAGAGACAAAAGGTACCTAAGCAATATAACCAAATGCCTCACTAAGCAAACAAAACTTGTTTGTTACACTCTTTGTATGGAAAAAAGTTTTCAGGAAGACAAACTGCAGTATAAAATAGCACAGCAAACATATATCAGCTGTTTCTCTGTGTTCACAAAAAGATTCACCTGCCCAGTTTATTTTCTACCAGAAAAAAAAAAAAATCTTCTGAATTGTTAAGGATTTAGATAACTACACTAAGATCATCAGAACACTGGCTTTCCTTGTAACTTTAAAAAACATTCTGTATCCTAGTTGAAAGTGAAAAAATGAGAAGCCATAAATCAGGCTACACTACAGAGTCAACAACTTCAGATCATCAAGACAGAGAAGGTTAATATGGAACAGTTACGTAAGGGACTCTGCAATAATAAGCAACACAGGAAAGACACCTAGAATATCGCCAGAAAATCATTCTGCAATTACTCTTTAAGAGACAAGGCTCAACCTAAGGATCCAAGTTACACTTGGTCTTCAGAAGGAGGAGTAGGCGATATGCAGTATTAGCCTGTATACAGAAAGCTTCTGAAGTGTCCTCAGGTTTTGTAAGCTGTGCTTCAGGTCTCAAGTAGCAGCTAATGAAGTATTTTGCCTAGACTCAGGCTTTGCACATACATTTTCATGATTATTACTTATGGATCTCCAGCAGACTCGATGACGTGTTACAGAAACAGGAAAACAAAAAACACTGCTACAGCCACAGGCGCCTTGCAGGCAAGAGAAGAAAGGAAGCACACCCAGGAGGAGTGGGGAGGACTCCAGCGAGGATGCAGCAATGCAGTCACTCTTCCACTCTTCAGAGGATGGCAAAGCTACTGAACTGTTTTTAACTACTGAGTGCTGCTGAGTAATTCAAAGAGGAGCTCAAATGAAACCATGACAGACTATCAAACAAACTGTAGGAGGGCACTGTGACATCTGTGGTGGTATCATAAAACCTCTGTCATCTCCTGGGGAAAAGATAAGGAAGCTTTATATTAGAACAGATGATCAATAAAATCCAATCAAATTTAAAAAACGCTGTGGATTTTATGTTAATTAGATAAAGTAAATTCTCTGGGGGAAAAAGTGATATAATGTTGAGCACTAAGTTAAATTCAAGTTGTTTACCCTCTGGCTAATAATAATTATAGAATTATTTATGCTAATATTAATGGAAAAAATGCCTTTATTTTGGCAGAAAATGATGACCATCTGGCAACTACAGGTACAGAATTCTCAAGGCATACATTACTCAGCTATACTTACAACAGTTATTCTTCTGGGCTACACAAACCTGTACAAAGAATGTTAACGTATTGTTTACGCAGTGGCAGGAAAATAGCTGGGCTTGGGTAGTGAAGCAAGCATTAATGAAAAAATGAGTTGCCAGCTGCACCACAAATACCAACCTGTGAGTTTTGTTGCAAAGGCAGTGCAGCTACACTGCATACCAGAAACTGAATTCCTAAAGAAAACATGTGTGTGCTCAGTGTCCACAGCATGGAAGGGGAGCTCAGAACGGCATTCGTGTACTTCCAGAAACACTATGCTTGATATCCCAGTTCTGTAGGAGTAACTGACCTTCCATTAAACTTCTAGGCAATGTATTTTTGTACCACTGCAAAAAAGAATGAAACTGCAAAATTAACCACATAGGAAATACCATATGGAGGGATTTGAAGAACCCTGAAGTCTCTTCCACATGCAGAGAGGTGCCGCAGAAACTTGCTTGAACGTACTACCCTCACAAAGGGTTCCGAATGCACAATTCTAAGGAGGATTTGTTTGGCTACTGCATGTTCACATACAGCTTACGTCAAGGTTGAAGGGATCAGAGGTAAGGTTTTGCACTACAACGGAATTAAGATCTTGTTGGGTTTTTTTCTAAATGCACATCACAATTGTTTATATAATGGGTTTACACAGCTGCAGAACCAGCAGTATGACCATGGCTTACAGAGGATTTCCTTGACTTGTCACTTCCTTGCCCCGCAGGTCACGCCAAGGCCAGTCTGACAGTCAGGCAAGAACTGTTGAAACACATCAAGGCCAGTGGGCCCATCCACAGGCATAATGATGCTGAATTACAAGCCTAAATCAAATACGAAAACCCTCACAGGCACCATAAAACCCCTTGACAGGCCCACCAAGTTCAGACACCAAAAGCTGCAGACATGTGGATGGTCAGAAAAGCTTCCGTACCAGCAAGGTCATGAATACGGCACTACACTTATGTTTTCCAAAGCATCAGACTCCTAATGGACCCAATTTGCACAAACGCCAACACAACTGAGCACCTCACTGTGAGTCAGTCTTAAAAAAATACACTTAAAAAAAACCCCAATTCTAAAGCCCGATCTTTTAAGCCAAGAGGTATTCATCCAGGATAACTGTCCTACACCAACTCTTAAACCTTAGAGAGTTAACACCCTCACCCCCCACAGCCACACACAGTATGTACTCTGTGAAGAACTTCCTATTCATCATACTAGAGAGTGTTCATGGACAGTGAGTCTTCCTGCCATCTACTGAAGCTCTGTGCAAGGGAAGAATCCATGATTAATTGGACTAGACAGACAGAAGCATGACTTGCAATCAAACAATTAAGACGCTCACCTACAAGAGAGAAGAAATAGAGGTTCTGCTTACTCTCTTAAAGACTATTTGTAAACCTCACCCAATGACTGATTAAGGTAGTAATAAGTTGCCATTAGGGCAGAGATCAGAATATCTGGATTATTCCAAGGCACATGAAAGCCTGGTTTAATGGCCTGTAGGAGAAAGGTGTAGTTCTATTTCGACTCTGTTTCAGGATGTTTTTCCCCTTTACATCCCTTCCATAAAATAATGAGAACAATAATTTTTACTGTAGCATTTTTGAAAGGATTAATTGCAAGTACCAAGAAGATTAAAAATTCATCAGAGGCATTAATCACTCCCACAGACATTACACTTTAAAGTGACAGCTTCCAGAGGAGAAGAAGAATGCCTTGATGTCTTGGATGAAGTGATAAAGAGCTGTACTTTTAGAAAAGAGGAGATTTGTTTCTTAAAGCCTTAATCACAGTATTTTTATTAAAGAAGTATTTACATTTTGCCAACTAAACATTAATCACTCTCGGTTTTCAGAAAGCCCCAATCCTCTTTTTTGTCTGGTTTGTTTTTTTCGGGTTTTTTTTCCCCTCCAGCCTCTGTGAGATAAAGCTGTAGCTATTTGGCAAGCACAATCTTACAGCAAAAATGTTGTAGATTTCCAAGACTTCTAAAAACTACCTTAAACAAAAGCCAGTCAGTCACAGACAAGTAAAGAATGCTTTTCCTTCTACTGAATACATTTATATTACTGGAAATTTAAAGGTTTGTTCAGTTTTTCTAGAGAAGACCCTTTCTGAAATTATGCCAGTTGCAGAACAGTACAATGACTGGGCTGCTTTCAGCAAAGGAATATTCCAAGAGCTATCCTTTGGATACAGCCCATTGCTGGCTGCACCAAGTTAAAAAAAACAAGTACAAAATCTGTTAAGTCACTCTCAAGAAAGTACAACACAAATCCCAAGCAATTTGCTGTTGAGCATCCACTATTAAATGGACACTTCCCTGTCTGTCACAGTCAGACTTACAGCTCTATCAGCTGCACTTCATAGCAGCCAAGAGTTATTCTTCCAGAGCCTGAGAATATAGAAACAGGATGTATGTTTTCACCTCAATGTCCTTTGAGCCTGCCATCTGTCATTATACTCCCTGTAAACGTTTCTATAAAACACAGATTACTACTCTGAGAATCTTGCATGCCTTAACTCATCCACTACAGGCTGGGGAACCAGAAGAATAACACTATCACAATCTGAAGGTTGGAAAAACCAAGCTCAAAGGAAGCCTGTGCCTTTATCCCAGGATGATCCCTCTTCTCTGGGTCTCTTTAAATGACATTAAAATCAAGTCAGAGACTATCACAAGGCATCAACAGTAATAAACACTCATAATCTGAAAATACTAGTGACAATACTAGCTTCAGCATAACACACATTTTAAAACAGATGTTTTAAAAAGCAAAACCACAATTCCAAGAGAGATCCAACTGTACCAAAAACAGATGTAATACTGTACCAAAAGTGGATGCAATCTCTTTTAAAGCCATATCCTTATCCAATGGCTTTGTTGTTTGCATTTTCAAGAAACTCGGTTACTAAGAAACTTTTACACAAACTTATGTCTAAGCAGATTTACCTGAAAACACAGGAATTGTTCCCTGTATCACCCTCCTTACTATATCTGCTCCTCAGAATAAAGAGAGTACTAGAAAATGTTCATTTCAAACTGATCTCACTATCAACAGAAACAGCATGCAGGAACAATATGAATTGATATATGGTCATAACCTGAATTTCTAGA